GGAATTTTTTGAGATAAATTTTTGGCTTCCATACCCACTGTCTTTCTCTGTGCTAGAATTTTAAATGTATCTTCTGAAATATGATGTTTACTTTTTTGCCGATTGTTTTAATTGCAGGGTTTTTCGAGTTTTGCACTTTGCGGTTTAAAAAACACCTGAGGCTACTGCTATGAGTTTTTACAGGACATTCGAAAACAGCTGCTGAGTATTATGGATCGGCACAAACTGAATACAATAAGTTGTGGGCGCGATGTGCAACGCGTACAAAAAGCTATCTGCTCTGGATTTTTCCGAAACGCAGCAAAGCGAGACCCACAGGTTTTTCGTTGCAATTTTCTGATTGATTGAATATACCTAGGCCAAAAATGATGGCAGCGAGAGATTCAGTCGCGGTTGACCAGAGTAGAGAACTGCTACTAAATTTTGAAAATGGTATTTAAAAATATGCTTGGGAAAGTGAGCAGATAAAGGTCGTAATAAGGGTCGCGATCAGTTGTTAATGCGTTTATTAATTACAGGAAGGGTATCGGACGATTGTGGATGGCCAGAATGTTTATATTCACCCTTCGAGTGCACTCTTCCAAAATCAGCCTGAATGGGTTGTTTATCATGAACTTGTCATGACAACGAAAGAATACATGCGCGAGGTAAATTTTTTTAACGAAATTGCTGGTCCTGAAATGACGGGCTTGATGTTCAGTTAACTGTCACTCTTGATCCGCTGGTCGTGATTTGCCGGTGAAAAAAATAATCTTAACAGTATTCATTCCAGCGGTAAATTGATACTTGCTTATTAGCATTCATGGAAATTGAATGATATTCAACTTGTTTTCAAATACCCCCCTGAAAAGAAAGCGCCATATTTGCCAGCAAATGACTACCGTTGGCAAAATGCCATCTCCTGAGTCACTCTCTTTTACTGAGAAATTGTAGAAAGAACGAGGAGGAAAGATGATTGCACTTGCCCGCTTTTACACATAGTTCGCTAAACTTAATGGTCCCATGCATTTGTGACAGTTTTATAAGTTTTATAAGCTCAGTACACGGTTAATGAAGACACGATGGTTCTAGGTGATTGCCATTGAGCCGAAATGGTTGGTGGAATTTGCGCCTTCATTCTTTAAAATGGGTGATAATACAAAGCTGTCGGCATTCAAGAAGAACCAGACAATCAATCCATTATACAACAAATATGAAGATCCGAATGCCTGGCGTATCACACGGCTCAAGAAGAAGATTTATAATCCAAACCGATAATCTGCTCCTTCAGCAGTGGTTTTTTGTACGTTATTTTTCAGCTCATGTAGTTGATATTGTTTTGCAGCTGCACAGAAGCAAACTTAAGCGACTTTTAGCTAAAAAGTACTAGCGAATTTTTTGTGAATAATCATTAAGAATTGTTTTATTTCAAACCCAAGTCGCACTGTATCCGTTAGATTAATGAGGACAGACAATTGTTGGGATGCAGCTGCATCTGTTCAGATGAGTGCTGGGGATCTATAAACGAGTGTGCATAACTTCCTGCCTAGCAGTAGGTTTGCTAGCTCTGGAAAAGGTTTCTTCCGAAATATACAATAGAAGGGGTCAGCGGACTTTCTCAGTTTTGTGTCCTTCAAGCTTCTTCCGTTAATTTTATAGAAATCACAAAAATTTCAGTTTATTTCCACTTCATATCGTCCCGAATCAGTAAAGAGTATTCCATCTTAAGTTCATCTGTGCTTTCTGCTTTCCAGCACGTCACGAAAATCTGGTGCAGAAAAGAAGTCTCAAAGGATTAATGCGGTGGAATATGTCTGTAAAAGAAAGATTTGAAATAACAGATGTTCGGGTTTCGCGATTTTTTGTTCGGCATTGAATCTCTGAGATTTGCCTAAGCTATGCATCTATCAATATGAGTAGGCGAAATAACTGGGTATAGTGATATTTCGTCGTGGGATCCGTTTGCTGGTCGATTGAACCATTTAATTCGGAACAGACTGACTAATGACCATGTTTATCTGCCTGAAAGCGTAGTGATCCGATGCCAGTAGCGTTGCTGGGATGAACTTTGGTGCCATTTGTTTGTTTCAGGTTTTTTAGTTGTATGCTTCTGTTTAGTTCCCGATGTTTGTATATGCGTGCCACTTCTCCAAATGTCATCTGGGTGGTCGTCTCGAGCGGTACTCACCGATACATTGCGCCCACCAGTTATCAGCAAAGCGCGCTGCAATCCGAATATCGTGATATACACGTGACATAGCGGGATAGAAGTTTTATATGCATGTCTTTGTGTCTTGCAACGATCTGTTATTTTTGAGTAGTTTCGTTTCATTTTCCAGTGTGATTGTGATTTTTATGCGTTTTTGCTGTGCAATGCTATAGCGCTGTTACGGTAATTAAAAATACGTATTGACAAGAGACTGTCTTGTTGCCGCCTACTTTTTGCCACTCACTTTCAATTCGAGAACCAGAAAAGCTGGAAAGCTGAAATTTCAGGAGTATGTACTCACTCCTTGTGCAACCCTTCCGT